ATAATCGTAGTGGTAGTTACGCCACAATACTTCCCCACCAGAATTTTATCAGGGATAGAATTCGATGAACTGATACCACTAGTTGCTGTATTTGTGAAAGACCGGGAGAGCTGGTTTAAGGTCACCAGATTTTGAGCTTTAGCCATGAGAGCTATATTGAGTTCATGGTTGTGTGTGTGATCACTCCTGTGTTGCTATTAGTAGTCGAGTGTGTGCAGAAACTAGTTGTGTGTAAATGAGACTGAGAAGCAACAGCGTGAGGAGGACGATGACGCAGTCACAATTAGCAAGTCAACTCTTCACTGTGGACCATCCATCGAAGCAGGCGTGATCATATCTTGTTCGCAAATCACTAATGTGGGGAATGACCATTAGACAATGCCAACCTTTATCTATCAAAAAGTACCTCAAGATTGAATCAAGTTAGCATGTCTTATATACTAGTGATTTGATATTTAATAATCGTAGTGGTAGTTACGCCACATACTCATTTAAAATTATTGTTTGTGACGTCATTAAAAGACCTTGGTGATCTCAATAACCTTATTTCTCGGAGGCTATGGATAAATCCCCCAAGACCTGCCTAATCGAAAGCTAAATTAAAAAAGTGTTTAATGAATGCTTTTCGAGTACACGAGAGATCCATTATAGGCGCGATATCGAAAAAGACACAGCCAAAACCTAAGCCAATTCAGCCAACTCCACGAATCTCATGCTAATGTTTAAATAATTTGGCTAAAAATTTAAGGCCAAAAAGTTTGTTAAAAATAAAAGTAAACCTACTAACGTATGTGCTAATGTTTAATGTGGTAGAAAAAAGGGTTAAGATAGATTTTGATGCTCAGTTGTTGTGCCATTGAATAATAATTAGTTATACACTTGCATTGAAGTAAAAAAGTTAGCTGTTACATTTATTAAGAATAGAAATAATTGCATTCGCTCTTTTTAAAATTAAAATAGCGAATTTATTTATTTAAAAAGAGATTAAAAATTATTAAATTTATGAAATAATGGAAATTTAAAAGCTAGGAAATATGTAATGGCATCACAGTGATTCATCGTTGTATTGGTTTTTCTGAAACTGAATTTTAGAAACGGAAAATATCAAAATTGGAATTTCTGCCAATCACAATGAGTTTTCGGACAGTCACGCTAGCAGCAATTATATAGAATTTTTTATGATTGTTTTGTATTTATTTACGTATTTATTGTTTTCTAAAACAATTGTTTTTTAACTCTCGCAAAAAATTGGTTAAATATGGAATCATAATATCTGTACCTTGAATTGTATTACATACAACTTTTGTAAGGTGTTAATTTAATCCCGTTTCTGTTCAAGTTAAACCATAATATCATGTAATCAAGGTTAAGAAGTACAGTTATACTATTCAGCAAATTTACAGCTCTTATCGGGCTGTAAATTTGAACGAAATTGTATTTAAACATACACCAAAATTTCAATCATTGTATCAGCCCCTAAAACTATCTCAAATATTTCTCGATCCCTCTTGAAATTCGTATATTTAATTGTTGCTACACAATTCAAATTTAAAATTGCTTCATTCAGATTTAGTTGTATATTTTCAATCAAAAGCATGATCTTGTTCTTTTTATTGGACTTCATTATATGCCATGCATTTATATTCTGTCTTAATTACTATTAATAACCCCATCAACTAAAGATATACTCATTTACCTAATGATCATATATTGTACTGTCGTAATTCTTAGCTACCGTTAATCAACATAGATTAATTGCTGCTTGAATGTTGATAAATTGCAGTGTTTGATTTATGGACCTTTATGCACTTGGCAACGCATGCTTTTTGAAGTTAATTTCCGGTCTCTGTTAGCGATTATTGCAATATGAATGAGCTGACGGTAGTCAATAAAGGTGATAGCTGATGTATTCTGCAATTCACATAATTGCAGTGAATTTTAACTTCTGGAGTACCGAGGTACTCTTTATCTTCATTTTTCACTTTTTAAAATCTGTTATTTTCACAGTGCTTGTATTTGGTAACCACCTCTAAGCTTCAAAAGATAATCGATTTTTTTAAAACTCAGCTTGTGCTTAAGCTTTTCATATCGTTAGAATCAAATTTAAGGTCTTCAGTTATCTTAATATACTCTTGGTTATAATTATTATTTTGGATTCGAATTTTCCGCCATTTGAGTTTTAAAATGTTGCCAATAATAAAAAAAAAAGATTGACAGCTGATAGTTCAGGTTATTAAAAATAGAGTTATCGTTTAGTATATGAAAGAACGACACGTTTTCATTAATGAGCATTGTTTAAAGCGTTGTTTTGTCATTTTCTGAACTAGTTATTACGCATTTTGGTGATCAGAATTGGCTACCCAGATCAACCAATTTAATGCTGTCGGATTTTGATTTTGAAGTTTTGTATTTATGATAATAAGCACACGACTACAAGTGAACGAAATCGAGCGCTGTATGAATGAAATTCAGTCACATTTATGGAAAAAGATGATTGAGAATTTCAACAAGAAAGCTCATATGGGCCAGAAAAACTGTTTGACCTATTTAGCCTTTAAGCTATTCCATACATAATCCTATAGATACTTTATGAATCAATAAAAAAACAACACATTTTTACGAATATTCATTCAATTTTTATAAAATAACCCGTATTTTTTCTACTAAAATTATTTCTTGCCTGAAATTAAGGCAACTCGTTATTTAACCTTTTTTTAAATAGTCGTGCCTTATTTCGAGGTCAAACTGTTTCAAAACGATTAAAATGTGTCTTATGGCAAAAAATATTTTTTTTTTACTCAAACTTTTTAGTTTTGTAGCGTACGTATATTACTGGTCAGCATTTATATTTAATTTATAGAATGCTTTTCATTTTTATTGCGAAAAAGTGCGTTTTTAAAACAGTGAAAAAAAAAAAAAAATTCAAACAGAGGCTCGAATCCCGTACCTTTTAAGTAAATTTTAGTATTTATTGCACGTATTTATTACTCTTTTATTAATAATATTATTTCAATTTTATCCCTTTTAATCATTCGGTTAATATAAAATTACAGGATTATGAATCGTTTGAATTGTGAAGAAATTTTTTTACGTTACATGACATTGTCACAGTATATAATATTATGCCAAAGACAGAGGTTGTGGACTAATTGATAGATGTCAATTTATCGCTAAATTAGCCAGCGTATCGCATTTGAAAGGCTTGTTCTAAGAAAGATTGGGAAGTCTGATTTATTGATGATAGTGTAGTGATAACCGAATTTCAAGAGGATTTAATTATAATTCTGAATAATTTCACTCTGACAGAGCAATGTTATTTTCTGAATCATTAAACATTTATTTATTTTTCTTTTAATAAGTCTATAAAAGAAAGATAATTGTGTGCACTAGTTAAAATGGTCGAACTTTATTCAGTTTAGCTTTTTGAATTTTTAAAACTGTTTCCGAAAGTTAATTAAGAAGTTTTCGTTAGTATTTTTTTTATTTCGTTCTTGCTTAAATATTAATTTATGCCCTCTAATGTGTAGATATTTTAATTATTCCTTTTTGGCATAAATTCTATAATGTATATATTAAGAAGAGTGTTTACAGAACAAGCTGTATGTACCAAAGTATTATGTATTATATTTTATTATTTATGTACACAGTTATAAGAACTCATAAAATAATGAATAGTCATGTTTTTAATTTCTTCAAGTCGAATAAAATTAGTTATTATAGATATAAAGTTATTAAGTTGTAGAAAAATTTTCTATTCAGATTCTGAGATTCGGAATTAGAGAAAAACAGCAACGTAGAAATCAAACTAAGTGAAATGAATAAAGATAAAACAACTTTTAATGCACGTACAAATTTTATAGACAATACATAACAAAAATATTTATGAAAAAAAAAAAAACTTCTATTTATTTCGCTAGAAGCATTATTTTGGTTTCATTACTTCAACAATAATCGATCCTAAATATGTGAAGCACGAAAAATTCTTATAAGGTTAAAATTATATACAAATGCTTTTCTAAAAGGCACTTAAAATGTTGTATAGTGATTGTAAATATTTTTTTTTCGTTTATGAATGAAAAGATTTTCGTGTAGGTTTCGTCAATATAAACTTTAAACAAATCGCCTGAAGATACTAAGTTACGCTTAATAAATTTTGCATTGAATTATTGATAACATTTATACAAAGAATAAATCGTATTTAAAAGTTTTTCGTGTAATAATCCCGTGTTTGGTTAGTATAAAAGAAAACATAAAAAAAAATTAGAAACGTGAAATAAAAATCATTGAACTATTTCTTCTATCTACTCGTAATAATAAAATGCGTTATATTAATATTATTGTACAATGCGGGAAAAAAAACAAAAAAAAAATAAAAAAAAAAAAAAACGGACTACCTTGAATTTTTGATCTACTGATCGAATCTTCACGTTCTAGAAATCAATTTTAATGGATCGAGGGGGTGACCTCAAATATACTAATTAATAAGTGCAGACGATATTTTAAGTTACGAAATCAGACATTAAACTCTTCAAAAATATTTAGACGATAATACTTTTATCCTACATAGGATAGGGTCTATGTAGGCTAAATAAAAAAGCAACGTGATTAAAGCGCAAATGAAAGTGCATAAATGGAAATACTGTAATTTCAGTTCCATAAACAAGAATCTTCCTCGGTGTCAAAGGTATCTCCTGATATACCTTTACTTCAAATGAGGTAGTCAAAAATCAGCTGGATCAGTTTTTTTGAAGGGAAAGAACAAATTTTTATGAGCTAAGAATCATGCTACTACCAGAAAGATGGCAAAGGGCATTGGTTAAGAATGAGCTATATATATTTCATTAAAATATTTATTCACTGTAAGGAAATCGTTTTTCATTTTCAAAAGAAAAGAACGAAATTACTTATCGAACAACGCCGAAGTTTGTGGTATGTTTATATGCTTTATTTTCAGCTTTCCATAGATTTAAATAACTCTTTAATCTTTGCTTTTCTTCTAGCATGGAAGGGGCTGATTTATGTCATGAAATAGTTAAACGAGCTCATTCTGGTTTTGTTTACAGCGAGGCTGTATCGAGGTAAATCGTAGTTTTTTCTTTTTCATAAAGTTAAAAATTCAACTTTACAAAATTTAGTTCTTTTCTTTTGCAATCATTGAAAGCAAATTATGCTTGGAAATTATTTGTATTGAAACTCAAAATAATTATCGGCATTAGAATTATTATTTTAAATCAAAAATTATATTTATTTATTTTTTCTTGTTATCTTTATATTGTATTTATGGTAAAATAATTCCTAAAAAAAATTGTGAGAATTTTTCTTAAAATGTGATTCTTTTATTACCTTTTTGCTTTCATGGATTGATGAACTAAAACTTTTAAATCCAAAATCTTTCATGACGAATTTTCTCATTCATATTTCAGCTAATATAAATTGAATAAGTAAAATAAAAAATAAAGAAATAATATGGAAAATACATAAATAAAAAAAATAAAAAATCAGTAATAATTTTTTTTTAAATTTATTATGTGTTCCTTTTTTTAAAATTTGCAACTTAACCTTTTTTCCTTTTTTTTTTTTGATAATTGGATTTCTCAAATACAAATTTACTAGAAGATATTTAAAATTTAGAGGAAAATACAGTACAGGTTTTTTTTAATCAAAATTTCTTTTGTTTTCAAAGAGAGAGAAAAAAAATTAAGAAAAAGTAATATAAAGTGAAATAAAGATAAATTATTACGACATTTCTACCGATTAATGTTTTTAAACATTAACGAATTTAAACAAGTAAATTTTTACCTTTTCTTCAGTTTAATTGGTTCTTCTTTATTCCTTATTGCTGTATTAAATGTGTATTTCAAAATAACAAACTTTTTCCTTGAAAGAAAAAAAGCATACAATGTGATAATATAAGAAAAAAATTTTATGATTTTATATCAGTGTACTAAAATGTTATTAATTTTTTAATTATTTATTATTATTCCAGTCACTATATGAGGCAAGTCTTAGAAGCTGTAAGATACTGCCATGAAAATGATATCATTCATAGGGATATAAAACCTCAAAGTATACTTTTAGCCACTGTTGAAAATTCTGCACCTGTAAAACTTGGTGGATTTGGTTCAGCTGTCAAAATCAAAGGTGATAAATCTATAACAGGAGGGGGTAAATATTTTTTCTCTTATTTATTGATATTTTAGTTTTATTTGTCTTTGTGAGATGGCAGCACTATCAGACTATTACGTTTCAATTTTTTCAATTTAGGTAGTTAAATAAAGAATTTCATTAAAAATATTGAAAAGAAAAAAGATATTTTATTTCAAGTTTTTTATTAAGCTGGTATTTTTAATAGTTTAATTAATAAGAATTAAAGCTCTTGTTTACTAAAAAAAACAAGTAATGTGAATATGGAAAAATTATCTTAAAAAGAATTTTATAGATGGCAGCACTATATATTTGATAAACTTGTCACTTGTTAGAAATATCCTCTAAAATTAAGATGTATACATTCTTTTAATTTATTTCGAAATATATATTTTTTATTCATACATTTTTACTAATATATTTGTTTATTTTTTATATAAATTACTCTAATGAATGGCATATTTCGGGAGGGGTATATGTAATACTTCATAATATTACTTTTTTAAATGGTGTTAGTCATTCATTTTATTTGATTTATTTAATTTTTACAAAAGTAAAAACTACGAATTATTGCTTTCACATCTGAATAAAGATTTATTTATATCTTTGTCAGTATTAAAGAATTTTTAAATTTATGAATATAAATGCCCATACTTTTATTTTGAAATTTTTCTTTTGATACTTTTTAAAATTTTTTAAAAAATGTATAACTTTTTTTAAAAAATAAGTTCTTATACTTGAAATTAATTTGTTTGCATTTTTAATAGCGACTGCATAGTTTTTTTTACTTTAAGAAACATTTCCATTGCTCTAAATCCAATTTTAATAAAGTAAACATTATCCTTATATCCAATTGTTCTAATGGTAAATATGTAGGAATAAGATTTAAGTTTTCGAAAGGAAACTCTTAAACACTTTCACTGAACTATTAATTTTCTTTTAAAATAAACTTTATTAAAATTTCCTTTGTAGCTTTTAAGTATATTGAATTGTATTTTACTATGTATTTTTGATATTAAGTTAAGTGGTGAAATCTTGATGAATGAAAAATATGGTTTATTTAATGCTGTTTGATTTTTTTTCCATTCTTTTTTTTTTTATTTGAACTTATTTTTGATACATTTCGTACTGATCTATAAGCTTCAATAATTTAAAGTTTATTCTGATAGTAAATAATACTATAATTAATTAATTATAAATTTGTGTTTTGCAAACTATCTTAGTAATTATTTTAAATCACTATATATTTATTTAAATTCGTGATTGGAATTACTTTATTTTAACCCTCAGATGATTGCACAAATTTGGAGGAAAGTTTCTTTCCTTAATTAGTTCTCTTCTCTAATAACAAGACTGTAGGAGAAAAATGCATTTAAAAATATTGCATAGGTGTATGATTGTCAGAGGATTTAAAAATAACTGCCACGTGTAATAAATTGAAAACTTTTTCATTAACAATTTAGGGTAATCAATTAGTTTTGTTTCTCTAATTAATTTTTTTCTCCATATTATCCTCCTCCATCAAATATTCTACTTAATTTTGAAATTTTTCTACAATGCTCATAAAATTCTAGACCACAAGAAAATGTTCTTGTCATATGCTAGCTGTTGAAATTTATTTAAAAACTATGTACAAAACTTTATTTATTGTAAAACTCCAAATATTGCAACTCAAAATCAATTGCTCCGAATTTACCGGCTATGCATTTTTTTTTTACATTTTGCTGTATGTTCTTCTTTCATATCCAGTTAAAATCAGTTTTAAAGTGCAACACAGCCATGAAATTAAAATATGGAAAATAGTTAGATTTAAAACTGAGAAGTTTCGATTTCTGCGTAGAAAAATGCATAAAAATTTATTATTATAATATATATATTTTTTTACATGGTGAGTAGTACACACCATAATTATCTGGACTTATTCCTTGTTTTGAAAAAATACTTTTTGGCAATTTTTTTTAAATTTTTTGTTCTCACCTTTAAATTTTTTTCCCTATAACTAAGTGCTTAAAAAGTAAACTATTTTCTTCTGAAATCAAAATTATGCATTTTATTTTATTGTGGCTTGTGTGTTGTTCAAATGTTATTGTAAATTTTCATTCCTTATTTTGTTGCATGCCTCTTTTATTGCATGAGATGAAATAGCATGTTTTCCTTTTTTTTATTTCTTCTTCTACAGAGAATAATGTTCATGAATATCGCTCAAATATCGGTACGAATGGTCGATTTTACTTGAAGTGTGATGAGCTTGGTAAGCATAGATTCTATTATATTAATTTGTGAGAATTGTAAAATGTTTTGCTTTAATTTAAAATCCTACATGGCTATACTCTTTAGACGCATTCCTTTTCATACTTAAAAGATACTTTTTAATGTGTTATTTTTTATCAATTTGTTCATTATGTTGAAATGGTTTTAAGTTCTTGGTGAATGCATAACATCATATGTAATATGTTTTCCACTTTTGAATTTTATGTGATTTTGTTTTTATTGAATTCTGATCTTTATGGTCTCTATAAAAGGTGGCTGTTAATTTTATTTTATACTTCTGCAGATATTTACACTTTTTTTAAATGTTTTTTTAAATTTTTTTTTAATTGTTACTTTACTCTTATTTTCAATAGACTTTTTTTTAAAGTTTATTTATTAAAATTTTTTTAAATGTGCATTTAAATATTTTTTAACCTTATTTAAGACTTATAATTTTGATTTTTTATTCCTAATAAAATTTTTTATAGGCATTTTTAACTGAAAGCAATGAGCTTTAGCTATTATTTAAAGACTAATTTGTGTAATAAATAGTCTGGAAATTTTTGGAAATCTTTATTTTTCTTTTAGAACTGCTCTTTTCAATTTTTTTGAACTGTTCTTTTATGATATTATAAATGTTTGAAAGTTATGCAACTTTTATGTGTTTGAAGCTTCTCAAATAAAAAAATACGTTTTTATTTTGGAATTGTTTATGGCATGTGTTTCTATTGAATGCATGTTAATGTGACCATTTTTGTGTTTTTAATTATTAAAAAAATTTAAAATATAGCCTTCTATAAATTTTTTTAAAAAACAAATAAATAAATAAATAAAATAAATACTATCTCACAACTGCAATCAAAGCAAATTTGAAAGTCGTTCATCTTTCATGCCTCGATGTACATAGGATAAATTAAAAATCAAAAATTAATAAAATAACTATAAAANAAAAAGGATAAAAGAAAAGAGAGATTAATGAAGGAATTAGTAAGAAAAACAATAAGTTTTATTTACTGCGCATAAGCTGCAAGTACATCAAATTCATAAAATAAGTTAAAAATATATAGAAAACGAGGAAAAAGACATAAAAATTTTTAAAGGAGAAGAAAACATTATTAAGAAAAGCTTTTTAAAAAAAATATAGTTTAGATAAGATTATAGATTTTTTGCTTTATAAGTTCTATTCCCTCTTCAATTTTTTTGGTGCTCCTCTCACTTATTGGTATGCTTTGCTTTGGCTATATTCATACATTATTAGAAAGCATTATTTTTCGGATGCAATCATATGACCTTATGACAAGATTATATATTTTCCTTTTTTTTAAATTTAAAAATTTTTAAATTTGAATTTTCTTTAAAAACAATTTTTAATAATTTCTTTTTCTGCATTAAAATTTCATATATATTTTCCCTTGTTTTCTCTATATTTTTAACATTATATATACGCATTCTAATTTGCAAGGTTTTTATCTCTTCTGACTATTCAAACTTCTTGCTTTCAGGGAGAATAGGTACTTCTCATTTCATGGCACCTGAAATAGTATTGAGGCGACCTTATGGAAAACCTGCTGATGTTTGGAGTTGTGGTGTCCTTTTGTATGTGTTGCTCACAGGAACTCTTCCATTCTTAGGAACCAAGGAGTGGCTTTATGAATCTATTTGTAGTGGCCAAGTCAATGTAAGAAATAACAACAAATTGATTACTTAAATACTATTAATAAATATCAGGTTGATTGTAAATTTTTTACCTATTAGAAGATTTTACTACCATCTTTATACTAAAGTCGCAATGTCACTGTGTATTTTGTCAGTTGTTATAGCAAGGCTTGTTTATTATAAATGTTTTGATTATGTGAAATACTTTTTGTTAGGTGCTGTTTGGTCTTCCATTTTGTATATAATTAGATATATAAAGTATATATGAAGTATATATAAGTATATACATTACAGAACCCGTTATCCGGAAATCAGAAAACCGGAAAACCAAAAAAACGGAACGAAATTCGATAAATTTTCCCTCCGTTTTTTTTTAAAAAATGTTTTTTTCCTCATAAGATTTTAGAATTTTTCTTTCTTTTTTTAAAGATGATTACCTTACCATCACTTTGGAAATAATCATTAGTGTATTACTTCATCGTGTTTTCTTCTTTTTAAGAATATTTCCAAATATATATATATATTTTTTTAGTTGGGTTTAACAATAAAAAAACGGCTTTTTGTAGCGATTCAGAAAACCGGAAAAATCAGTTATCCGGAATAGCGATGGTCCCGATCGTTCTGGATAATCGGTTCCCTACTGTATATATATTGAGTGTATATAAAGATATTTTCATTTGATATATCATATATTATAATGCCGAGCAGTCTAAGTCTCAGTTGCTCAGTGGTATAATTCGAATTTACAAAGCAGAAGGTCCCAGGTTCGATGTGGGACATGGACTCTATTTCCCAATTTTTTTTATTTAATTCTATGAACATTCCAGAAGCTTCTAGTACATGCAATTTACATCATTTCCTCTTTAGTTATTTCTAGGAAGTTTCTAGAACGTTCTTTGTTAGTATATAAGCGATCCCTTCATTGTAAACAGGCAGTTCTTAGTGCCGACTGGTTCTCGTCATTTGTACTTTCTTCACTTTAATAAACTCATTAAAACCTCATATTGTCATCTGTATTAAGCCACTTTAACGTGACAATATATAGTTTTTATTTCGTATTACATACACTCTAACTAGTAAGTTGAGCATCAAATCTGCTTGTCAGTCGTGGCTTCCATATAGCTAATTGGTGCTTATTATCCCTTACGCTATTTGCTCTAAATGTATACAGACTTATTAATTAAGGTTTTGAAGCCATTTTTTACTTCATTTATAGTCGATCTGTGTAAAAACCCAGTGCCTGTAAAAACAGGTGTCGTTTTATATGTGAAATAAAGAAATGGTTGTTTTTTTTATTTAGATTTGTTTTATTAGTTTCCACCATACTACACAACGTTGAATTTCAATATGTTCTTTAATTAATTAGTCAAATTGAATAATTCACTCAAACATTAAAGCCAGAATTGCATCAAGCTAATTGATAGATTTAGCACTTCCAAGTAGTATTCTGTAAGTTCCATATACTTTTTTTCTGAGCAAGTTCTAGGGAGGGCGCAGATTGCACTCTTGTCACTAGGTTATGTTTAGTATACATATTTGAACAAGCAAGTTTTTTGTGAAAGTGTTAAATCTCTCTGTTACAAGACATTAAACAAGCTTAATAACTCACTAAATGATTTTATAGCTCGGGTGTGATTTACTATCTCACCCGCTATATTTCACAGATCTGGAAGAATATATTTTTTTAGCAATCCAATTTGGATCTTATTAAATGTTTGTTTGCTTAAATTTTTTGGTCTTTAATATTATAGCTAATATTAATTTTTATATTTTGTTAAAAAGCTATTGGGTTAATCAATTATGCACTTTAAATTTAGTTAGGTATTTTATAATTATTCTATAAAATATTTGATGATGGCAAAGGTTTAATTATAAATCATATATTAATATTCTTTCTGAGTCTATGATATTCTTGCTTATTTGTGTATTTATAACTCATTATAATTTTAATCAGTTGTGTGATTAGAAATTGAATAAATATAACTCACATAATATTTTTTTATGTAGGAATTTGATGATTAAAAGTTTTTACTTATATCAACTCTTGAAAAAATGTCTGCATAAATTAATTTTTAATTTTCATGTATAAAATTGTATTTAATATTTTTGCCTTTTAATATTTTCAATGATTGACAAATGATTGATCTAAAATGGGTTGCTCAAAAAGTTTCTATGTCTGAAAACCTTTTGTTATTCATACATAATCAAACATAAATCAAAATTTCATGTTTAAGGTCTAATTAAAATGATGTATATTTTTTAAAAGTTGTTAACTAAGACAATTTATGTAGAAATTTATTTTATTTGCAGATAAAGCATAAAATAATAAAATTCATTGTAATTTTTTTTTTAATTAAATTTTTAGGGATATGTTTTTGTAGATTTTGGAGAAGGACTTCTCTGTGTTATAAAAGTATTTATTTCTGTAATCAATGCTTGTAAATTCTAAAAGTATTTTATGCACAGTTTATATACATATATCTATATTATTATGTTTTAAACCTTGGTAAAATGTTAACTTTTATAGATGATTGGACGACAGTGGGATGTCATTGGAGCTCACGCTAAAGATTTGTTGAATAAAATGCTAGCTTTAAATCCAAAAGATCGTATCACTGTAGATGAAGCTCTGGAACACCCGTGGATTAAAGTAAATATAGAATTTTTATTTTTATAAAAAATATCACTTTCTTAAAATTTTTTTGTTACCATAGAAGTTTAATTAATTTTAATTCCTGAAAAATCAATGGTAACATAAAATTACCAAAAAATGAGTTACTCAAAATATTTTTCCTTATTTGAACAGTATTAGTTTTGCAATAACAAAAAATTGTTTTTGATTGTTTGATCTGCTATCAAGATAAATTCATTAAAAAAGAAATAATGTATTTCATAGAAAATTTTCTATTTATTTATTTTTTAAATTGTGTCTTAATAAATTTATGGGAAAAAGGAGAGATTTTAAAATTTTATAGACTTTAATTGCTCAGTAACAACCAAGTGTGAGACAATTTTTGTTAATAACTTACATAGTGCTCCTAAAAAAATTAAATCATGTCTGAAATGTCATTTTCGCTTTTTAATATTTTTTCTATTTTAATAATATTTATTTATACTTGATTATTCTTATTTATATAAAAACATATCTTTTCATAATGTGTTTTAATTCATTTTATGCCTTGCTTGAATTATTATGTATGATATTTTCTAATTAGATTTATATTTTATGTATGTATGTGTTGTAATATTTAAAATGCTACATGCTGAAGTTGTGACGAATGCAAGTAGTATTGTGTTTGTATTATTTTATATTTGTCAAATAATTATTTTCTTCTTGCTTAATTAATATTTAAAAAATAAAATTTTTCTAAAATCTGCTTATTGAAGTATTTTTTTAAAAAAATTATTTTATTATTTATTTATTGAAATATTTTTTCGTTATTGATTATTTTATTATTGAAATATTTTTTTAAGATTTATTTTATTATTCTAGTTTCCACACAAGCTTTGTTTCAAACCGTGCATGATTTTTTATTTTGTTTTTGCATTACAAATGTCTTCTTGTCATGTAAGTTTTTGGAATAACAACTGTGTTTAACTAACTGAAACTAAACTTTGTACCAATTTTCACAAGTAGACTATTTATGACCATGATTCTTAAAGAAATAACCACCTCTTTTAAATGTTATATAAAGGAAAAAATAAATGAAGTTTTGTTCCATCTCAAAAAATAAATGAATAAATAAATAAAAAATAAAAATTGAGCCTACAAAATTATTACCTAATTTTTAAAAAGCAAGAGCAATTGGGTTTACATGCTGACAGAAGTATCTGACCAAAGTATTGTGCCCTAAGTGTTTTGTTATACTATTTAAAAAATTTTTTTCTTTGTTTTTAGTCCACTTATAAAGTACAGCTTTTTTAAAAACTTTTTTGAGTTCAATATTTTCTTCATTTTAATTTTGTGTCTTTTAGTTTATGTCCAAAATTGGTCAACATTTTAATAGGGGATAAATTCTGTTTGCTGATAAAATGGTTATAAATTCTGCTTATATACATTGGAAAATGATTAAAACTTGTATCATCATTTGGCATAGAGTTCTTGTTTGCATTACATTTGCAGACTCTTGTTACATTTTGATTGTGTAATTTTGTCCCCACAAATAGCCATGAAGGTAATTTAAATTAAATAGAGTAAAAATGCAAATGCTTGTTTTTCAGGATAGAGAACTGTGTGCTCCAAAAGTTCATTTACAAGAAGCTGTTGAAGAGCTTACTAAATTTAACGCTAGAAGAAAATTGAAGGTAATATTAATTTTTTTTTCACACTCAAACATGTATAAAATTATAATTTAAAGTGAATTTGTGTTTGATTTGAATTTTCAGTTGTTCAAACTATTAGCTAATAAAGTGATATCAAACTATTAATTGCAATATTATATTTATTGTTTGCTTATTTTTGCTTTNAAAGTGAATTTGTGCATGATTTGAATTTTCAGTTGTTCAAACTATTAGCTAATAAAGTGATATCAAACTATCAATTGCAATATTATATTTATTGTTTGCTTATTTTTGCTTTCAACAATTTTGTTACTAAAATTTTTAAAACATAACGTAACTCCCAAAGGGAAATCATTGTAACATTTTGTATTTACCTGTTTATACACATAATTTAAGATAGTAAAAGGCTGTTATTATTACTTGCTTTTCTTATATATTGTTATTTCTGCCAACCAGCTTTATCGTTGCTTAAAAAATGCATTTTATTTAAAAAAAAGCATATTTTATATAAATTGGATCGTTATTTTTAGAATGTAATATATTCCCATTAAAATTAGTATTGAAGGGTGCTTAAGGTTCATTATTTTAAAATATAGTTCATTATTATTAATTTTTCATATATTATTTTTTGAAACATGCTAAAGTTTCATTTTAATGTAAGGATATTCATTTTTGTATATTACTGACTTCTTTTATTTATTCACCTCGTTTACATTTAATGTATTTCTTATTTCATTTTTATTTTGGATTTTGTTCTCATTAACTTTTGAGAATTTGAATTTTTAGCTTTATCTGATATTAGTTTTTTGAAAGAAATATTTTATAGACTTAGTATTGACTTTTTTGGAGAACTACTACTACTTTATTTTATTGTTTTTTTTTTATAATATTGTTTTTTTTTAAATTTTAATGTTATAGTGATTTATTTGTTAAAAAATTATTTCTTTGATATTCAAGATACTATTCTCCTCCATTGACTCCCTTTAAAACTATGTGAGAAAATTGTAAATTTTATAATATATTTTTTTAAATTATAGGGAGCTGTGATAGCTGCTGTATCAAGTCCCAAATGGACAAATTTTTATTGTGATACAATGAACAACCAAAATGAAAATGCTGATAATATTGATTTGGAAGAAGTTACATCTGCAGGTGTGCATCCTTTTTCAAGAAATAAACTATTTTTAAATTTTTTTTGGATGTAATTCTATGATTTAGCATTACTTTTTGTCATCTTTTATTGTTGTTTGCTAATATTCATTTCATAAGTATATTGCTTTGCTTATTATAGAAAATTTAACAGAAAAACTATTTACATTTTAAGTAAATGCTTAACGCAATAATTATATTTTAAATTTATTCTTAAGTAAATTTCAATTTTCTCATGAGTTTTAATTCTAAATATAGTTATAATTTTATGAATATATTGAAGCAAGTTTTAGCTGTCACTAATTTGGATAAACATATCTTTAAGTAAATTTTGTATTTGTGTGTTACTTGTGTTTAATTGGATCTTATATTGAAATGGTTTGAAGCATTAGCACATGTATTTTATCGAATTAAAATAAATTTAAAATTCATGATTCTAGCTGATTTTATAGCATAAGCAGGCTAAAGCAGGAAAACATTTAAATGTTTTTAATTTTTACAAAGCAGGTGTCAAGCACATTGTATTCAATTCTATTAATGTTTATATAATTGAAAAATTAAAAATTAACTTTGCTTTAAAAATTTTAAAAATTTCTTATTGAAATATTTTGACATTCATTAGTTTGAAGTGCTATAACATATTTGATTTTCTTTTCTTTTATATATTTTAGTGTGTGCAACTTTTTATTGTAAAAAATACATAATTTTTTTTTAAAAATCATTTTTCTTTTCAATTTAAGTAATATAAAATGTATTGTACCTTAAGAAAGGTTTTCCTATTTGAATACTTTTTTTTTATCTGCATGCTTGTAACAAAACCATTCATCTTAAAAATAATTTATACTAGTTAATTGGATAGTTTTTTTAGTGCTATAAAAATGACATTTATTTCGGAAAAAAAGTTCTTTTTAAAATAATTTTTTTATTTTCTTTCTTAACTATTTATTTTTTATTGAGATTTTAAAAACTTACAACCTGGTTAATCTTTAAGTTAACTAATTAAAGTGACTTAAAAAAGTTTTGACTATATTTTTCCTGACATTTAAATCTTTTTAATCTTAAAACAAGAATTTCCATTCATTTCAGTTTTTTGTTGTTGATGGAAACTGGTGTTTGCTTGTTCACACTTCTAATCTATACACTAAGAATTATTAAGTATCAAGAATTATTCAAATCCTAAATATTACAATTTAGTACCTATAAATTTCCTTCAAATTGAGAAATTCCGAGATAAATGCCCCTCTCTCTTAGCTGAAATACATATAAAAGCTATAATATATGAAATCTTGTACAACAAATGTATTCAGGGATGGCTAATGGTAGAGATTTTTAATGCATTATGCATTGTCTTCTATTTGATTGTCAAGAGGAATTACTACAGACATTTCTTCTGAAGTTCATATATCTCACTAAAATTTGATGAATGGACATTTTGTTAAGTATGCCTTATATATTTCATTTTTCTTCTAAATGAATACGCTTTCCTCATTTATTCAGCATTTCTTTTTCATGAATTTAATTTTGAGTTTGTATAATTTACACTTAAGAAGTGGTGGTTTTGGGGATAGAGCGCTCACCACTTAATGAGGGGAACCGGGTTCGAATCCCAGCGATGAATGGTTGATTTGAATTCCGCATCTGGCTAGCACTGACCACAGTGTTGACGTAAAATATCCTTAATTGTAGATGTTTAATGGTTTAGAGTCTTCATACTGTTAGGCTAACTGTGGGAGGTTTTCGTTATTTTCCTCTACATGTAATGCAAATGCGAGTTATTTCCATCAAAAAGTTCTCCAAATTTCCCCCAATACTTGATCCAGGAGTTTCCTTGTCTTCTGGTTTGGGTTTAAAACTACAAGGCTGCAGAGTTCAACATTGGTAATCATAAACCCAAAAATTGAGTCGGTATGCTGCATTTCTATGCTAATTTTATTTTCCAAGTATTCTATAAAAATATCTTTTTTAGCATAGTTGTAAACTAACTTCATTACTATGAGTTTTTATTCCTTTTTATTTATTGATGACTAATAATATTGAGTTCAAATAAATAAATTTCAAACTTATTTCTTTAATTTTCTTATAATGAAGTATAATTTTAATCAATAAAAAATAATGATAGGTTCTTATTCTGTAAATATATGTAATAATTTTTTTGTTCTATCATGTTTTTATCTTAATAAGTCTAAAACAGACAAAATGATTTTTTAAGAAAGAAACATTTCTGATATTTTTTTAAGTCTGTACTGATTTTCTAAATAATGCTTTTCATAAAACAAATTAGTGAAAAATAATCTTTATCAATTAAGTGAAAAATTATTTTTCTTTTTAATCCTTGATATAATACGTAAAATAATTTTATCTACATTATTTATTTATTAATTTGAAATGCATTTATGAAGCAGAATTAAGGCCGATGATTCTTTTAATTTTTCCATTATCTACTAAATTTTCTGTTCTTAAATCTTAGGATTATAATGATATTCTCTTAATGATATTCTCTCTCTTTGTTTGAAAGAAAAAACAAAAACAAAATATTCCATCTGCTTGTACATTAATACAGGTTTTTTTAAATATAAGGTATAGGCTTATAAAATTATTTGCAAGAATTTTTTTCTTTAATTAGTTTTATTTATTTGTGCTCATATTCATAACTGTAATTTTGAAAGTTGATCAAATCATGTTTATACAAATAAATCGATTGATTTTTTTTAGAATTTAATTATTCCTTCCTTTATGCAGATTTATAATTAGTAATGTTGTTATCCCATTATATTTTATTTAATTTCAAAATGAGAGATAAAGGGAGTTTAAAAAACAGTTACATAATTTAAATCATGCTTACAAGCATAAATCGTGGCTCCATAAATATAACGCATTATGATGTTTTAAATATTTTTCCAATAAAATTTGAAATATACTTGAAATGTAACATAAAAAAGAAAAATACAATGGGTGTACTACGAGAAAAATTTTGTTTAAGATCATTTATTACTTGCTTTTGTGTAACAGGAATAAATAAATGTAGGATATATGTAAACATTTCCAAATTAAACACAACAACAATCTATGTATTTCTAATATGAAGTATTTAATATTTTTTAATATTTTTTTGCCGTTAAAAATTATTTATTATATAGTTTTTAACGAAAACTAAGAAAATGAAATGGAAAAAAATATGAGAAAAAATTAGTAATGAAATTGAACTAAGGATATTTTTGAAGTATACTACTTACTAAAATGGGACTAAAAATAAATGCATTATAATTTCAAATTCTACATTAAAATTAAAATATGTTAATTTTGATTTTTTTTTGTTCCATTGGTCTATCTACTATTTTTATAACTCTCTTTCATATGAGCATTATTTAACTCATGCACAATTATTCTTTTCACAGTTAGTAAATTTTTAACTAATGATACCTTTCTTGTCTTTTGATTTTTTTATCTTTGTTTTTTAATATTTTTTTAAAATAATTAATTTTGAAATATTTTAAAAGGATATACATATTTTATTACTTTAAATGAACTGTTCACTCTTTGTAATTCTGTATTTCATCTTCCATCTTTTTTTTTTTTTTTTTTTTTTTTTTTTTNTTTTTTTTTTTTTGCATGATTTATTTAAAATTTTATAGTTTACCTTTCATTCAATAAGTGACTTAGAGGGATTTAACTTATAATTGTCACTAAACTAGACAGAATTAATTTCGTAATATGCTTCTATTCTAATAATTATTTATAATGCACAAGTATACTCATCTTTATAATATGTATTTCTCATAATTTTATTTTAAAGGGATTGTTTTAAGAATTTAAAATTAATTGCTAGGCAATGATTCAATAGATGAATCCAATTTCTAAAAACAGTTGATGAGTTGAAAAGTTTTTTTTTCCACTCTGCCTTGAATATTATATCTCTGTAAGTGTTTTTGAATAATGTACTACTGTATTTTCCATACATTTTTTTATCTATGCTTTTCATCTTTCAAATTCGTCTACCATTTCTTTTAAATTCTTAACTTTGTGTCTTTAATATGTTTAATCATTAGAGTAAATATTAAAAGGTTGAATTCTAATTGAAAAGATAAAATCAAGTTGCAAAATTAAATTTTCAAAAAGATTCTATATTTGTATGAAATTTCTGTTTGTTGTACTTGCTTATTGAAACTCATTAAGAAATAAATTTGAAATAGCAATCATTGAAAAATAATGATTTAAAAAAATTTATTAAATTAAAAAATAAAATAAATTTAATACTATTAGAGTTTTGAAGCTACTGTTAAATAGCTTGTTTTCAATTTAATTTAAAAATAAATTTGTTTTAAAAGTTTCCGTATAAAAATTTTCAAGACAAAGAAAATGTGAAATTAGTTAATAAAACTAATATTTTTTCTGTTTATTAATAAACTATAAACATCAATATATAACAAAGCATTTTTAAATGCAGACTTCGATGTTAAAAGCATTGAATATTCTTGAAGCTTTTGGACTTTATCACGAAAGTATTTTTTGATGTTTGCTTCTCAAATATGACATTAAGAACAAGATGATCTTGCGTCAAAATTGCTTTCAATTCAATAACCAAATATCAGATAACTTATTTTACTCTTAATCACCCAGTGAAAGTGCAGTAAATGTAGTAAACACACACCCTCATCATATATCTCTACAAAATGTATTATATTTAATTTTTTAGTTTTGATTGGAAAGAAGATTTAAAACTTTTTTAATGATAAAGTAATTTCTAATAAATTAAAGGGCCATGAAGACAATTCTATCCATTAAATATATCTTGTTTTACTCATAAGTAATAATGAAGTGTGCAGTTTATTATTATTAGCTGTATATTTAAGCATGTAAAGTAAAAACATGCTGTTTATAAGCTAAATTGTGTTACTAGCTGGTTGGTGAAAGTAACAACTCGAACTTAAGTATTTGTTCGAGTTAGTTTTACTGAACAAGCAAATTTTTATTATTAAAAAATGTATTTTAGTTGAAAATTAAAAAAAAAACTAGTAGCTTATTTTTTGAGGATTTCGATATTCTTCATTGGTACATAGTTCTCCTTGAAATATTTGAATGATTACCCAAACTAGGGAGCAAAATCACTATATTTTTAAATACCAAATTTAAGATATTTGTCATGGTTATTTTTTATGTATTTTTGAGAAACATTTTATAGACATTAAAATTTATAAAAGTGTTTGGGAATATAAAAAAAATAATATTTTTTTTATGAATTATTTCTTTTATTCTTTTAAAAAGTTTGCATTTTAACTGCAATATATTTGCTTACTATAAAGAACTGGAATTACTTTTGATTTTTTTTAAAAAATTGTCTTGTTTTTTTTCTATTAATATTTAAATTATGTGGGCAATATTTAGTACTTTGTGATTTAGTTCAACAAGATTTCTTATTTTTTTCATTGAGTAAATCTTTTGTTCATTTGGAAAAAGTTTACGTCTTTTAACTGCTGATAGGGAGACAAGATCATTGTTGATTTCCAGTTTTTTATTATTAAGTCCTTCCTTAATTTTTAAATTTCAGAATAATAAATATATGTAGACTTGTTTTAGTTTTTAAATTACGAAAAACACTGAAAAAGTTATTTTTAATTATATAGCTATGATATTAATATATTTTATTTAAAATTATATAACATCTGTAACAATTTAAAATTTGATTAAGTGAGTCATGTCTTGTTTTCTATTTGTAGAGGTTTTTGAAAAGCTTTAGGTTTTGGATTTAAGGTTTTTCAGAAAGTAGTTTTATTATTTGTGATATTCTTTTATTATTAAACCATTTTAATCAAAATGTTTATACTAACTCTGTCTACTTGATTCATAGTTGTGTTTTTTGTGTTACTTTATGATTTTGTTGTTTGCATGTGCATAAAAATAATTAGTGAGTGAGGAATGTTTCTTGTTTTCACAAAGGAGCAGTGTCCATGGTATTGGATAGCCTTGATGACATCCACTGCCTCACTGACTGTCCTGAACATGAAAGAGAATTTCTGATGTCAGTTCTAGATGACACCCATCTCCATGCACTGTTAGACGTAAGTTACCTCTATTTATAGCATGGTTAAGATAGTTTTGTATAGCTCAGTGGCATACTGTTCAGTACCCTCTTCTTAATAAATGGTTAAAAATTGTAGGTAATCATCTGTCTCTTTTAAAATGAATCTAAGGGAAATGGAGAGTGAATCTAAACGAACAAGGTGTTTCCATCGTATATTTTTGCTCTGAATCGAATAAGAACTAGTTCGATATCTCAATATTAGAAGTTTTAATGGTTTTATGTACAAAAAGTGCAATGTTTGATTTGTACCGATAATTACATCATTCATTCCAATCTTGATAAATATAATATTGTTTCCTACGTAATTTTTGACTCTGAATAAACCAATAACCAATAGTTCAAAGATTGCTAGGTTTTTAGGAATATCAAGCAATATTTTTCATTTACTACTAGCTGTACTTATTGACTTAGTTGTGTACATATCGACATGTTGCAAATTGTATTTGACTTACTAACTACTAAATTTAATACTATCAGTTATTACGAACTATTTTTACCATTTATTACGAAATATTTACACTTTTATAAACAAATTTGCTACAGTGCATTTGGGAATGGCTTAGTATCAATATTGCTGAAACAAAACTTCCATTGAGCAGTTTAATATTTGTGTTAGGGATTAAGTGCAAATCAGTTTAAAAAATATTCCTTAAGGAATTTAATCTATAAAGAACTTCAAATTTTTTTAAAATTATTAATGTGTTCTACAGTTCTACCTTATGATGATTTTTTGTCAAAATTCTAATTTAACACATGATCAAATTTGACAAGATTCAAATTTAAAGCATGTTATTCGCTTTATAACGTTGCAGTTGTATATTTCGCTGCTTGTACAAAAGCATAAAAAGTAAAAATCTGAATTTACAGATGGTGTCTTATTTTCTTTACTATCATGTGGGTAGGAAGTATTATTTATTTTTAAGCACACCACAACCAAATAAAAAAAAGAGCAATTTCTTCGTACTATATTTAATTCCATCAGCAGATTTATTGTAATGAAAAATTGTAGCGCACATTTTATTCGTTTTTATTGAAGATTAAGTTTAAAAAAAATGCACTTTTAAACTTGCCATTTACTTTTAAAAACTGTCACTCGTTACATTAATTATCAAAATATACAGAAGTCGATTACAACAACTTTGGTATTATAATACTATGTGTTCTAGTTGTCTAATAGACATTAGTTTTTTTCATTAGTTTTTTTAAATTTTTTTTTTAGTTTTAATTTTAAGATTAAGTACCACTGCCCAGTATACATTTGTCCTATATACATTTACCCAATGTACCATACACTGATGTTTTTGAAAGTTAACTTTTACTGCCCGGTACACCTTAGTTTGATGTTTTTTTTTAAGGTTAAGTATCACTGCCTAGTATACATTCGCCCGGTATATCTTACACTGTTTTTTTTTTTAAGATTAATTGCCATTGCCTGGCATACTCTACACTGATGTTTTCTCGGGGTTAGTGCCCTGTATATTCTACAATACCATACTACAGCAGAGTAAACTATACATAGGTAGATCGCATATTCGGATAATACCACATTTTACCTAAGTTTTCGAATATTTTTCAACGTATTTGTTTCCATTGTAAGTTATTTGACTCAAACCGCTTTACTTTTAAGTGACTCGCACAAGGGAATGCTTTTATGCAAATTGTTTAAAAGCGTACTAGTGTAAGTCAAACAGGGGCTTAACTGCTCTGGCTTTTGAGCCACTCCTGTAAAGGACCTCCGTATTGTTAATATGGAAATTGAATTCAGGTAGAATTCGCTAAATATTTACCGAGAATGCATTGTAGTACATCACATTCTCATCAAAAGTTTAAAGAAAGGAAAATTTTAACAAATCTAACTAATTTTGAAACTTCGTGAGAATGATTACTAAAGCAGGACATAACAAATTATACATTTTTACTTCCTCCTATTTTAATTGAGTTTTCAAATGATCAATGAATTTACATGCCATACCGATTTTATAGTCAAATCGATGATATTAAATTGTCGAAGCATGAATGTATGATATTAAATTGCGCTGTTTGTTGATTAAAATTAAGGTTTTGCATTGTATGGAGTGAATTATGAAACGCATATTTTCGGGGCCATTTTGGTTGAAGCCTTCTGTGGCAAAATTGCACCCAAAATAACTGAAAATATTGTCTGTGACCTATGGATGAGAGAAAATATTTATTGTTGAATTTTATGTTTATGATTGTATGATAGATTATAGAATTTAATTAAAAATTAAACTTTTTTTAGAAGTGAAATCATTTGACTAAATACTTTTTTAAAAATTACTCATTTATCACGGAATAATTGCCAGTTTTAAAAACATTTCAGTTTCACTTCATCTGTTTCGTTCAAGTTACCCCAAATTAGGGACAGTAATTTTGCCCAATACATGAATTCAAATAATAATCTTTTCTTTTTAAATTATTGCCCGTATTAGAAACATTTCAGTTTCACTTCATCCGTTTCGTTGAAGTTACCCCAAATGAGGGACAGTAATTTTGCCTAATACATGAAGCATGTCTGATACATGAATTCAAGTAATAATCTTTTCTTTTTAAATCATTACCCATTTTAAAAACATTTCAGTTTCACTTCATCCGTTTCGTTGAAGTTACTTCAAATTAGGGACAGTAATTTTGTCCAATACATGAAGCATGTCTGATACATGAATTCAAATAATAATCTTTTCTCTTTAAATTTCAGTGGAAAAGAAAGGATTAAGCCAAAAATAACTCAAACATGGTCAATTTTAGTTTGACATTTTAAATAAATTCATTACTCATTTACTAAAAACGCATATTTGTGACAAAAAGTAATACTATAAAATGCTTGCCACTAATATTTAGTATTTTAATAGCTGTTCCTAAAAAATACGGAAGTTCCAGAAAATGCTTGGGAAGTTTGCTAATGCTTATTAAATCTATATTTTTTTCCTTTTTTCTTTATACGAATTTTAATTTAGTTGTCTAGATAACGTTCTAAAATATGTTCACTGCTCCATTATGCAAAAAAGGAAAAAAAATCGGTATTTTGAAGAGTTCACTAATATATTTCCCTTTAATAATCAACATGCAATGGTTTTCTAAAAAAGTTTATAAGTGTAATAAGTACCAATTCCCCACTTACAGATTTTATTCAGAATTCAAATTCGATTATGTGTATAATCGAATAACCGTAAAACCTGATGAGGGAGATGAAAATCAATAGTAATGTACTCTTAAGTTTTATCTAATAAAATTAGCTTTTCAAAAGAAAAAAAAATGACTTTTTTATTCTTTGTTCACGATACTCTAAGTATTTAAAATCTCTTTGTTCTCGCCGAAATACATTGTTTTTTTTTTTACTCTCTAACGCCTCCTTTTTAATATCATCAATTTTAACTGAACTCATTTATCTAAATATTTCCTTTGATATTTTTAATAAGCGATAAAATTATTTAGTTTCATTCGTTTTATCGGAAATTTAGTAATCTATAAACTAGATGAACGGCGGGTACTCTGGGGGTTTTAATTAGACTGTTTCGAGTTGAAACTGTTAAATTGGTTTTATGCGTTTTCATTCTGCATCATTCATTAAACTTTTATTAATTAGCTACTCAACTGTGTGAGTTTTAATAAAATGCAAATTTATCCCTCATTATTCTCTTTTGTGCTGGCGAGGAAGTTGGCTTTAAATTAATTTTCGGCAATATTTCAGGAAATTTAATTAAAAGTGTTTATACTTCTATTGTTGTGGTCTTCGATGTATTGACTTAAAATTTTATAAAATTGCACTTCTTAGCTATTCATCCATTGTTGTCTGCGAACGCTGTAGACTTTAAAGTTTCGTTATCATTATTGCAAGCTGCTAGTTTCTATTCAAAATCTATAGCATTATTTATGTTAGGAGTTTAACTATATCATTGTTAATTCTACCGAGTATATGTTACAGTGTTAATACGTATAGTATTAATGATATTTATCCTCTTTACAAAAGAAGATGAAATTGTCATAAGCACTGAAACTCGACCAATCATATTTAAGTTACGTTATTGTTACTGAAAGCAGTTAGTTTCTTTTCTGAATTTCTAGCATTATTTTATGTGTATTAAGGTTTAACTATATCGTTATAAAATTTACTGAGTATACAGGATGTTACGTAATGACCACGCTTGATATATATTTTTTAAACTCTAGTTAAAACTGAAGTCGAAAATATATACGCATTAAGAAAATTTTTGTTTATGTGAAGAAAGCGGGACGATAAACCTTAAAACCAGCGTGATTGCTTAATGAAACTTAGTATTTCTAATAAATCACTTATAACTTCCCTCTTTTTCAACATCAATAATTTAATCTGTCTTATTCAGTAGAAAACTGTTAAATTTGAGATTAAAGAGATTAAATGTTATTTAGCTATACTTAATCTGCGTACATTTTTGTCTTCATTTTAACAAGGTTCTTTAAATAATAAAAAGGGTGGTCATTTTGGAATATTTTTCTTACTTTAGTTTTTGATATCTGAAGAATCACGTTACTACAATCAAACAATCAAATTAGTTGATAGAATCAATAGTCAATCAATTAAATACTAATGGATTGATTAAAAATAGATTATTAATCTCTTTCTGAGCTATAAAGATAAATGAAGTTGTCAAAAGTAGTGTAAAAAGCTCTTTCAATCATTTGCATTCAGTGATTTCATATGACATTTTTTAATTGTTTTAAATTTTGGTCTTAAATAAATAGTTATTTACTTTTCTTGTGAACTTGGATGATTTTATTCTTTTATTTGAAACAGTACAACAATATTCGAAATACTAGTTCGTAAATAAAAAATAAATTTCGTTAAAAATTGTTTTTATTAAAAAAAATTGAGTTTTTGAATTGTTTTTAAATTAGTGATACTTAAATTTAAGCCAACTTTGGCAAACTTTTGCTTTTTATTTGTTAAACTTAAGGGTTATATGTGTTACCGCTAAAGTG